ACCCTATAACTGCAATGCCACTGCCCAGCCTTCCGTTAGAGATTCCTGACCTCACCGACTTCCCCCCTCCCATAACATTTCTCCCCTGTCGCGCTGGCCAGATGTCACCATAAGATGATAAGACTCTTGTTCTGAAAGTAAATAAGCAGTATTGGCCCTGTACATTGATCTGAGTTGTGTGCACGTGAGCGAAAACAGCTAAGTAATGCTGACGAAAATCGTGGTTGAGTGGTTAGCAAGTCTGCTCCGTATTCTAGATATCACGAGTTCGATTCTAAGCCCGTCTCGTCCTACAGCCGCTTCCTTCCAGATTCCTCCCATTTAAAGCGTCATCCTGTGCCATAACATTGTGTATAATAAAGGCCTGTGGGGTTACGTCTTCTGGGATATAACGGGGTGTAGGCGGGTGAAAGTCAGTCCATGTCTAGAGGAACACAACGCCTCAATTTTCACGTTGGGAAAGTAAGCCAAGCAAGAAACCAGCCAGAAATGGCAGCTTGTGAACCAGCAGAGCTTCTTTCTACCTGCTTCATGGTAATATCTTGCTTGGCTTACACTTTGAACCTGAAGATAGAGGCGCTATGTTCCTCTAAAAGCGTTGGTTGAATTTCACAACACTGCAGTGCGTTATATCCCAGAAGACAGAACTCCTCACAATCACCGTTGTGAGAACCTCATATCCAGTCATCTAAACTTGCAGTTCAGAAAGCGCTGTCAAATAAAATAATACACATATATTGTCCCATTCTAGTGAATAGGCACGGGATTTTGATTGGTAATTTGATTTATTGGACACTTATAACTTGTAATTGCAAATAATTATAACACTATCACTAATCTACACACTTAACAAATCACTACAGCATGCGCTGTCTCAGTTTGTTATAGTCTTCACTAGTCGTTGCTCGGATATGGTTCCCAACAATGGAGATTTCTCTGCTTTCGTACTTAAGTCGTTTCCGGCTGTCTATAGTCTCACAACTAGTCCTCAACTGGCCCCTCGATGGCTATGAGTAACTATGTTCGGTCGGTTGGTTAAATTGAGCTGACCTTCTCCAGCACAGCTATCCCCGGCTTCAGTCCCCTTGAGATCCATGACCAAGATTTGTATTCTCTCCTAGACATGTATGTGTTTCGAAATGAGGCCTCCTCCTCGGCGAAGGTGTCGGTCTTTCTATGTAGGCGATAGTTTGTTGCAGCGTAGTTTCAGTATGATTATTTTCGCGTTGTCACGGCGTCCAGGTCGCTGTGAACTCTGCGCATACTTTGTCACTACAATATACTAACTAACATTTACACAAGGCATTCGTATACAGAGGTTTCCTGCCAATGCAGGCTTGCGCAGTAGGTTATGCCTTAACTTAAGTAACATTAACTATAACTCGGCTGCTAGCCTCGTTATATAGCTTGAGTATGGACCTCATAAACACACAATAATCTCCTCTGTTGTTGTGCGTGTATCCGTTGCCGCGGATAAGTATTTATTCAACCGTTTCCAAGCAATGGCTGTCTTCTTCAGTCGTCATGTCACAATATGTATACATTTATATATTTGCAGAAAATACGTATATCACTCTAACAGTGATCTCCACCTACCAGTGACATCCCATGTCATGCCTGAGGAGTTGATTTAGTTCCGCGTAACGACGCGTAACAGAACTGATTACATAACACCATACGAGAAGCGTAATGATTGCTATTAATTAGTTCAATCGGGTATCGAGACGATTCTCGAAGTTCCTGTCTCGTGATTTTCTGTGGGACGACTGAATAAAAGAATAGAATTTCTGGTAGGATAATGTGTTGAGTTCATAAGGTATCCTTGAAGGAGCTGAGAAAGAATATGTAAATAAAGGGAACAAGAATGCTGGTATACGGAATAGGAAAACGTCTTTGAAAATTATCAACGTATACATGAAAATTTTGCATACAGTAGCTATTTAATTTTATATGTATTTTCCTTAAAAGGAAAACAAATAGTTTCCAACATGTCAACATCTCCTTGATTTTCCCCCTCTCCTCTTACTCCTCTTGCTCCTACTTTGGAGCGCAGGGCTGATTTATCAGTTTCTTGATCATTTTTACAGACGGTAAGACTCCTTGGACGGGTGATCAGCTCGTCGCAAGGCCTCTGCCTAAACACAGGACAACACAAACACAGAATAAACGCATATACACACCAAACAGCCATGTCTTGTGTGGGATTCGAAACCACGACCCCGGCTTCCGAGCGAGCAAAGAAAGTTCTTGCCTTAGACCGCTCTGCTACCGTGACCGGCATCTCCTCTTTTTTCAAATATAAATTATGTCTTGCTTTGTCTCGTCCTCTGTGCCTTATGTTGATACTCTGTGATCACATTTATTTTCTCATTTAATTTCACCGCTAGATGGGAGGCATGCATGTGGCACGTGACCCAGTGTGAATCCTCTTTCTGCTGATTTAACTTCGCACCGAGCCCAACTCAATTTAAGTTCTACAGGAATACAGGCCTACACAGAACCGTTCCAACGTCATGGTAGGAAATATATTGCAGAGAAAGCTACAAATTTCACTTCATTTATCCGTAGCTCATTCAACAACGCTGTCAGGACTTCAGATTATATACTGCCCAACGATTGGGCGATATGGAGTACTGAACAGGAAATTATGTGGAAGAGGCCGGCCCTGACCTAATATCAGGCACTGTTATGACGGAATTTTCCTGGAGAAACTGAGTACAACCACAGAAAACAGTCGAGATACCCGAAAGCTTCGCTGAGATAACTGCTACTGCTTGAGTCAGCTTGCTTGGTGCTACAAATTCATTTTCTATTTTCGTGGTTAATTTAATGACACTTCCGGTATCAAAACTGCGAGTATAGACCTGTCTATGCTCGCGTCTCACAGTTGTCTCCTCCCTTCAGCTCTTCCGATACAAATTTATTTGCGTTTCTCGTTCCCACACTTATAGTACGTGTATATGCTCTGCGAGTTTTCAGAACTGGAATTTGTGTTGCATATTGGATAAAGGTTCGGCCACACAGAGCGCTACGTACGCGACGCACGCTACGTACGCTATGTTCGCTATACGCACAGCGTAGGTAGCGCCGTTATTGACAATGTGACTGGCCACACCGACTTCCGTACGCTACGTATGCTACGTACGCTATGCTCCCTATGTTAGCTGCGTCGCAGAGTGTACACAGCGTAGGTAGCGTACGTAGCGAACATAGCGTAGCGCTCTGTGTGGCCGAACCTTAACATATTTCCACTCCCGTTAATTAACTGTACGATTTTGTTTTAAACTTTGGCGTAGGCTTTTCCATTTATGTCAACGATCCGCTGAGTTAATTTATATTTATACATATTTGTCAGAACGTCCTGCCAGAGCGATTAGCACTCCTCTTTCGTAGCTGGGAAGCCCCGAGTTCAATTCTCGTCCAGATGCATACTTCCATGAATTAAGCTCTCCACGTATTTTCTCATCTTCATCAACCGACGTTTTATATATAATTCCTTTCCGATGGACTCACGTGTTTGCTAATAAAGGAGCATGATACGGGCAGATTGAGACGGGAAGAATGTGTGTGGCAGGACATAAGAATTTTGGGTGTAAAGAACTGGAGGAATGTAGCATCGAATGGAGAAGGAAGGCGAGCAATCCTGAGGAAGGCCAGGGCTCACAAAGGGCTGTCGTGCCAGTGATGATGATGATGATACGGGCTGAATATGTAGCACGCATGCTTAGCTACTATGCAGCACATTTAGGTAACTACAACTAAAAAAAAATGTAGCATTTTCCTTTGCATCTGTATTGTGCATCTTTAACTGTATTTATTATATAGACGTATCACGTTTCTCCAACAATAATTTTTAATCTCCATGTTTTGTCTTAACGTTTATTATTCGTTCCTAACATGTTAACGGCCGCTTGACGTTTCTCTGAAATTGTATAACGAATACCACGCTGGAGGTAAAGTTTCGTCATATTTAAAAACCGCGCCATAAACATGTAGGGACGAATGGACGTTAAGTTCCACGCGTTCATAGTCTCAACCATAGGCAGAGTACAGCAGTCAGTTTCACGCTCAGACCGTTTTGTCGCCAATACCAACTGGACAGGAAGCTGCAATCATTTCTGAGCCACTCTGGAAGTCGCAGCGAAGAGAAATATATCCATGCCGGAATTGAAGCCCGGTCTTCGATCTCGTAGCCGATTACTTAACTAGCTGAGCTATCCCGGCTATGTGCATGTGTGTGTATGAGATTCAGAAGCAGGCATTAACATCACTACGAGTGCACTCACATATATGTATAGATTACACACATGACCTTGAGAAATAATACATGATTTGGAGTGATATTACCTGCTTCACAGCACAGGTTGGTGCAGAGGCAGGAATCTAGACGTGTATTCCAGATCTGCTCAGTTGGAACCTCGACTGGGACACCGACTGTATTGACTGAAGTATTGTGGTTTTCACCAGTCCCTCCAGGGCAATAATAACTCGCTTGGACAACCACCGCTTCTCTCCAAACTTTTACCAACCCATCCTCGTATCTCCCGACGCCATAAACCATCGATGCTGAAAGTGCCGTTAAAGAACACACGCCACCTGCTTAACTGTATTCCAGCACGCCGCCACATGATGCAGGCTGGTTAAGTCGCAACACTTCTGGCTTGCATACGGAAAGTATGCAGTTCGAATCTCGACTAGGACATCGACTATTCTGACTGAATTTCTTCGTTGTTCTCCTCAGTGGCTCCAAGAAAATGTCGAGATAGCATCACGACCAATGACATCCACATCATCTGAAAATTACTGTTTGCTAAGCCTATAGTTCGATACAATATAGTCTTCATTACTGCACCCCGTCGTTAAACAATCTACAAATAAATGGAGGTGAAACTGTCCAAAACTGCAGTGGGATTCTAGAGGCCCTTCAACAGAATTTCAGTATAGCAATATAGTATAATTTTCTTTTTGTGCGTGCTATACATGCCCTGGTCTTGTTACAGGTCGAAGTACTTCAGAGGAAAGCGTCTGCACGGGGACTATGACATTCGTGTGGAGCAAGCGGAGTTCAAGGAGCTCTCCCTCACGGCCAACGTCGAGTCGGGCACTACTGTTAGCATGGCCGTGTTCCGCAATGGGACGAAAGTGGTCCGCTCGTTTCGCCCAGACTTTGTTCTTATACGCCAAAACTTACGGGACGCCGGTGAAGACAACAAAAATCTTCTGCTTGGATTTAAGTTCGGTGGAGTTCCCAGCATCAACTCCCTGCACGCCATCTACAACTTCCAGGTACGAGAAATATTGTTTCATTAATTGATAAAATGTTTTGGATCTGAGGTTCTTATGGCAGTGAATATAAACAGTACTCCCGGGTAGGCTGATTAGACGCTTGCGCGATTTATCTGCTTGCTGTTTTCTGCTCCCCCCCCCCCTTGGCACTACAGCGACAGTGGGCCAAGGCCTACCTCCATGAACTTCTCCGTTCACTTCGGCTTTTCTAGATCTTCCACATTCGGTAGGACTCCTTGGGTGGGTGATCTGCTCGTCGCAAGGCCTCTACCTATACACAAACACAGAAAAACGCATACATACAAACTAAACATCCATGCCCTGAGTGGGATTCGAACCCACGATCCCGGTTTCCAAGCAAGCGAAGACAGTACATGCCTTACACCGCTCGGCTACTGTGACCGGCCCTGTTTTCAGTGTACTTGGCTTAATTTTCGACCTTGAATATGAAAGCAGGTTGTTTCTCCGAAATTTTAATAAATTTCTACCAGACTACGCGTTGTCAAACTTAGTCTTTCTGTATCCTATCTAAAAACATATTTTGATCTGCTGTTTTTATGGGAATAAATATATTCGGATGTTTTATGGCAGGCTGCGAAAAAATTGAATAATCAGTTGATCAACATTTGTATTCCTCACAAAAGACCATCTGTCTTCATTTAGTTCAGTATCAAAAGGAAGGTGTATAAAAGGCAAATATATACAGAGAGGATTTTTACTTTCTTGACCGGTTCCACTTCTCTGCGCCTAACGGAGGCCGGTGCGCTTGCTGTTAGGCGCATATGAATTTTACCGATAAACTAGCATGACTGACTGCCGATAGCGTTCGGAATAAAATTAAGTCCTTACTTTTGTTCACAGATCACAGGTCTTGAAAGTGCTGCCCCTCTACAGGCAGACATTCCTCGCACTGACGAAAGAGACTCTGATTTACCCTCTGAAGCTGTTCTGCAGGAATATTCGCAATTTCCCTATGAATATTTTCCTTTAGCTCTTCTTCCTTTCGGTGGTTACTGTTGTAAACTTTGTCCTTCAAACAATGCTAGAAGAAAATATCGCAAGTATTAAGATCGGGTGAACGGGCTGGCCAAATGTCACTGCTGACAATTCTGTCCCCGAAGACATAGGACAAAGCCTGCATACACATACTCGCAGTGTGGGCAGTAGCTGAGTCTTTCTTTTTCTGTTAGCTCTGAAGAGAACTGACCAAGAATAACCCGCACATATCTTCCGCAATTAATTACATCGTTAAGAAACACAGGTACAACAATCCTTCTTGCACTTACAGCGCACCAGACACCAAATTTCACTGGACGGAGCGGGAACTCGTGGGTTAGATTGAATTCTGTGAACTCCAGTAGCAATTATTTTGCGTATTTGTGTATCCCTGCAAGTGAAACCATGCTTCATCAAAAAAGAATGCCAACTGCCAATCGATCTCACCTTCGACGACAGACTTTAGAAAATGAACCCTGCTAGCTTGATCGCGCGGCTGCAAGACGTGTGTGGATTACTGTAGTTTTATAGGGTCTAAGTTTCAGCAGTTGCGTTGCCGTTCTTGCACAACTTTGACACTCCGGCCTCTTGAGCTAGACGATTCAATGACTTTATGGGTATAGGTTAAAGTCATCCAACTTTTTCCGCAGTAAGCACTCGTCGCTTATGTTTTTGTTTCTTGTCTAGAGTCCCGCTGATCTAAGTTCATGCGCCAAATTGTGAATTCTTTGTCTGCTGGGAAATCTTTCATCATGAAATTTATGTCGAAAATTTCTCTGACACTAGCTAGCATATCCGAATTTCTTGTATCGTACAGAAATACGCGTTGATCTAAAGTATACTGCACCATGACGTAACACACTGATCACTAATTATAGCTCAGTGCAAATGGCTAATGGAGCTGATAACTGCCTCCCACTGCCGGCAAATCATGAACTCCCACGCATGAATCTCACTGCTTGCCATGAAACATAATGCAGTCAAGCAGTCCACAAGTTAATTACTTTCCTTCATTCCAAACGTTATCGGCCATAAGTTACGCCGATTCATTGAAAAAATACTTATGCGTCTCGCAGCAAGCGGCGTACCGGTCGCCGTGAAGCGGACAGCAAATCTGAAAAGCTCTCTGTATATTTACTCACTTCCGTGTCTGTTGATATATTCGTCAGATATTTAGCATTTTAAGAAAAAATCTTTCACTTTTACGCATTTAAAGTCGTCTTGGGTTTCTAGCGTCGGATCTTTTTTTTTTTTTTACTGCCTCGCGTTCTGCCACTTCTGTATAAATTGCCAGGATTGGACACTTCTCGACGGTCATATACGCAATCACCAATAAAAATCAGCCACTGAAGTGCTGTGGCGCTTCATCAACTGTATATGATTTGAAGAATATGCATAGCAAACTGAAACTTACGAAGGTGTTCGTGTTATAACTGACACACTAAAGTATTATCTTGTGTTTTGTTAGTTTCTGACCAAATACAACGCTCGCAGCCAAAAAGGAAGGACTCGTCACAAACACAGTACACACAGAAACGACTCCCATAGTGGACGAACCATACTATACGCGAGTTTGAATTAAGACATATAGATGAAAGTATATACAAATGTTATTATAGTTGACGAATAATGTACTTTCTACACAATTCTATGAAAGACACAAGATGGCAGACAATGTAATAGCTTAGCGTAAATAACGAACCTGAAAATGGCACTGTGTTGCTGAAACATGTAGTAAGAAGTTACATGAAATTGAGTGCACTACAAGACGGCCATTACATACATATCATGGACAAATAAAAATAATCTGCAGTTTCATTAACATTTATTTATAAGTAATGCAATACAAATTACAGTTTATAATATACAAGAAAATATAACCTATCTATGGTACATGATAATTAGGTACACAGTGCTTTGTTTGTGCCACAGGACAAACCGTGGGTTTTTGCCCATCTGCTTCTGCTGCAGCGACGTCTTGGCAAGGAGAACTTCCCTCTGATCGAGCAGACGTTCTACCCCAACTATCGCGAGATGGTGAGTACGCTTCTTCCCCTACCCCCACCAACTTCTGAAGAGCATCGTATGAACATAATCTTGCTCTTAAATAGACATTCAGTTCATGTTTAACAGAATATTGTCCCTTTACTGGTTAATATTAGCGAGGTTTTAAGAATTTCCATGAAACTACATTGTCATTCGTGTATTGTCACTTATGTGTATCAATTTTATTAACGTAATTAATTACACATGAATTTTAATCACATGTTGTAATAAATTTTAAAAATATGGGAATATTGAGAACAAATTAGTGATGGTTGATTAACATCAAGGAGAATGAAAGGTCTATTTTATTTTTAAAAGAATAGTTCCCAGAATTTCTAGTTTAATTTCTTAAATTGTGGGTTGGCGAAACAATTAATTAAATATATTTAGAAATAACATAGCAAGAGTTTTAACTTTACTTCAGTTTCATTTATATCCATCGTCCTTCGTTCTGTGACATAAACGCAGAGAGTGTAAAATCAAGACAGCTCTTCAGAAATTGGTAACGGTGTTACAAATTAGTTCTTTTTGTAGCATTAGCAGGACACCATACTTGTTTTGTATTTTCAGTACTTGAACTTTATAGGAGCCTCTGAACACGGAAATACTGTATCTTATGACGATTTGGATATTACGTTAACTTAAAGAACATGAATTTAGTGAAAGTATTACAAGAAAATGTAACGTTACTTCGTAGTTGTATAAATAGACGCGAATCTTCAGTTACTGTGATTAGCGTGTGGTATAATAATTATCAGGTAAAAATTTTTGTGGTTACTGTAAACGTGGTCCATTAGCAAAATCTGTACTCCATATTATCCCAAAAAAGAGCAACAGAGAAGCCTGACAGGTCTAGCTATAGGAAGCGAAATCACATGATCCTACGTAACATTTTCAGCTGCACAGCTGAATGAGTTGGTCATGTTATATTGGCGATAATGTTTAAAGAATGATAAATAAATTATTAATTCTTTGACTCATGAAACACGTTTACGCTAAATATCACAAACACAACTGGCTCCAGATTTTAGGCAGGGATTCACTAACAGCAGAACATTAACCAATGAAAGTGAACGTATCCATTTACAGCAGAACATTAGTTCAATAAAAGTGAAGGTACCCACTTACAGCAGAACATTAACCAATGAAAGTGGAGGTACCCATTTAGAGCAGAATATTAATTCAATAAAAGTGAAGGTACCATGCTGGAAAATACCAGGTGGACAGTTTATCGTTTGATAGACTGTCAGCAATATCACTGCGATATTTCTATCCCTATGGAGACCGTCCGTCGGCGCTACGACCCTTAGACGGAAGGTAAACCGGACAAGCTTACAAAGTAGAGTACAAGGGAACTGCGGAATCTACACCAGTAAGACATTCTGTACTAAAATATATATTCTGAAATCAATGCTGAATGAAGTTACCTTACGAACTACGAATAGCCAATAGCCAGTTACAAATAAGTTTTGATGCCTATATTTCCACGTTAATTGTACAACTTCATATCCTGCACACAGTCAAATAAATAACTGATAATATCAACCTAGAGTCATGTTTTCAGTGCAATTACAAATTACCAGCATATCCATTAAGTGTTGAGAATGTTTGAACTGGGCAAATTCAAAGTAACCGTTCTAAATTTACGATTAGGCATTTCGATTTTAATTTATAATTTTGATGTTATTATTCGAAACATATTAACAATCGAATATTTTCATAATCTTTCCATAATGTTCACAAATAAATTCATTGGCGTATTAACGTTACTATACACATCCGTCCACATGCCCCGAAGAAGTATGCAAATAATTCGGATTATTTGATCCTTCTGGACTACCTGCAGGACTCAGTACAGTCTGTCTTACTAAACAACCCAAATAAAATTGCTAAGTAATTACAAGTGTTTGCAAAAATAAAGTATATATTTCGTTTTCAAGACTTCTTGAATACAGACAGTTTCTATCCTTCAGCCGGTAAAGTGTCTCTACAATTAACAAAGACATTAAAACTAGCTTCAAACGTCACCAACGAAATGCACGTGGCACGACGCGGAGAGAGAACCTCTCTGTCGGTTTTTGCGCATTGTCTGTTGAGAGACTTGCTGCCAGTGTTTCACAGTAAGAAAGTATCCTCATATGTACAATTAGTAAAGTAGAAATAATATTTTCATCAACGAATTAAGCAGTTTTACTCTTAAATTCAACCGAAGACTTAATTAATTTGGAAGTACCAATCAGCCGAAAACAAGAGCACGTGATGCTTTAGGAACTTCATTCCTGTACAGAACGAAAATATTGGATTACTCAAAAAAGTGTAATTATGTTCCTGTATTTGCAAATAAACACGAATGCCTGGGTCGTGTAGCTAGTGCGGAACTGGAGTCAATTCCTCGGCGTTGTGATGGAGCTATGTATCCAAAAATAATTTTCTCTTCTAATTGAGAGTCTAAATCAAGCAAAATACCTATTACATATCTGGAATCATTCTAGAGTCATGAAGTTTTGCGGACTGAGCTTAAATGACAAGGCACAGAATCCAAAACTGGTATATCTGTGAGGGAATTTAAGAGTGAACTTCTGGGAGCAGAACCTTTTGAAAACATCAATTACTAATCTGAAGGTAACTTTCTGAACTCAAAATAAAAAAAAAAAAACAGACATACATTCGAGAAACAGCGGTCAACAACACAGAAAGCCGTCTTGCGTAAATAAAATGTACTGTATCAAGAAACGCTGAAAATACTACACTCGTTAAGACACTTAAGAAACATAGGAGTTATAATGTTCTGAACATAATTTTATGGAATTATATAATTTTAAAAATCTGTCAGTTGCATATTCTGCAATGGACATTTTCACTTGTATTGTGAGACAGTATTATAAACTGACATCACAAACATACTTCCTTACAACATGCAGTTTGTCCATGATGATAACATTTTGTTCTTAGTGACGATAGATGTAATTCTGCAGAATTAACTCACGGGTTCTGTTTTACGCCGCATGTCGCGCGAATATTGCCGTTCGGTCCAGAGTGGAGAAAGGAGTATGGAATGCGGTCCGATCATCTTGTGACAACGACAACTTCTTGCATTTCACTATATCAGCTTCATCGCATTTTACTTACATGCTTTTAGTTTCAAGCGCACACCGTACACAGAGGCGAGTGAAGTTGCATGCGAGAATCAAGAGACACGAACATTAAGACGCCAAGAATCCTGTGAACATGCATTTCCTCAGATAATTCACATGTTTAATTGAACGCGTTTCGAAATATAACAAAATAATTAATATCAATATCCTCAGATCAATATCCAGCTTGTTTCCTTGTGTCGTTCATGGCTCTTTCCTCAGTTTCTCGTCCCTGATTCGTCGTCGATTCTTCATGCATTCTCGGTATTTCTTGTCTGTTGACCAGCCACAATTGCCGCTAGGCGTCTTCATGCAGATGCCGTGGTTCGCTTGACAGTCGGGCAAGGAGGAGTCAGAATTGATACTAGTTTCCCAGAGGCATGATTCGGCCATGAGGGATTCCTTCGGACACCGCCTCCACCACGGACAATCGGTTATCTGAAATGACATAAATATATCCTTGAAGTTATCAATATACTGTATAAAAACAGCACATGCTTTTCTTGGATTCTATGACACGACCCATGCAAGCGCAAAGGGACGTAAAGTATGGAAACTGGAACTTAAGCAATCCCTTCAGAGCAAGTCAAAAGAATCATTTTGGAGATGTAAATGTAAATATGAAATTAATATTAAAGTTCATATTGCAGAAATAATTTATAAATTGAAATAACTGGTGCAGGATGGAACCGAATGATGGACCTTAGTAATTATTAACCTCCTGATTGTAAGCAAACGATTAATTTTTTTATCGGCTGAGTATGAAGGACATTTTCAAAGGATCTCTGTCACTAGCAGTGCAACAAATTCGCCGTTCGCCTTCATCCAGTACGTGGAGTTCCAATGAACGTTTCTATACATACGTATTAATAGTTTCGTGTCAGGGGTATATTTACCGTACATGTAGGCCCGGACGGTTGGCTACTTGCCACGTTTTACAAACTTTGCATGAAATGTACTTACTGGCGTAAGATGAAATTTAGTCAAATTACGTGTCGCCTCCACACGAAGGCGACGTCCATTTCATACACTGATTGTACATCTGCTTAATGTAACAAATATATTTTCCTCAATGCCCTAAAAATTGTACAAGTAATTCTTGTGGATGTTTTTACATGAAGTCCATATAACAGCAAGATAACTGCCACATAAGTATTTACATTAGGTAATTTTTAAACCACAGAGTTCAATAAGACGGGTGAAATGTAAGGTAAGCATAATTTATAAAGAAATACATACGAATGCGGCGCTTATCTGCAACATGATCGTGGCACCAGTTTCTATACAATCCGTGTAACTCTCCATTGCCAGGGCGCTGTTCAATGTATCCCACGAGTTCCATCTTAAACATTCTCCACTTCTCTGCTAAACGTAAGGTGAAATTGAACCTTTTGGACTTTAATGACATTCGAACTGCTGAAATAATATTTATATTGGCCTATTATATTACACAAATGTTCATACTTGGAGTTACAATGGTTCTTCCGTTATTGTCGCGGTATCAACACTTTATCGCGTCTCGACATCACTTACGTCCCCACACGAATTTTCACTGGAAGCTGTCTATCTTGTCAGTGGCCATCATCATTACTTCAGACCGACAAGGGCCACTTTTGTTGTCGAGTTCTGCAGGACGTCACATTGCTAAGTGGGGCATGCTCCGTTACACCATTTTCCGGATCAGCAATTCTTTCATTCTCTCTCAATGCTGGTGTCCCCTCAGCAGTACATCTGTCCGAGCCCGAACGAGACGCTTGGCGAGAGTATGAATACTGTGAGCTGTAGCTGACCAGCTGTGGCGGTAACTTTCGTCAGCATAATGCTGACCCATTTCTAGGCAACGCCTCAAACACGCGTACGCAACAACAGAAAACTTATTGGACGAAGTGTTTTTATGTGGTACGCGACATGCCGTGCTGCGCAACGGGTGAATGGACACGCATTCTGATAACAGAAGAGGTGTTTTCTATGTAGTCAGCGCCTTGCCCAGTGCTAGGTGACGGGCCAGTGAACACGCATTGACACGTGACACGTATTTTGCACGAGGTCCGACCCGAGTCTATGTAACGAGAGGCGAAAAATAATTGGGACGTATGTTCAGTCCAGTAGCTGAGTTGAATGTTCAGCTGTGGTGTTAACCTGCGGACAACGGAAGCTGAAGAATCTCCATCGCTAAGATTTGTTACGAGGAAACATCTAGAGATATCATTGCAGAGGACTAGCCATTCTTGAGACCTGTTACTAAGCAACGGCTAGTGAAAGAAGACTTAGAAGACTTAGTGTGGAGTGATTTGGAGTGTGGAAATCAACAATACTGTTATAGTTATTTGTAGTTAAGACCCGTGGGTGGTTTATAAATCTATTTATAATCCAATCCCTGTCTATGGTCACTAATACATGTGACAATATGCTCAACGCTTGCGCGCGGTCTTCGTCTCTTTATTACCATTAAGAATCTGGAGCAAGCACTTCAAATGAGCAGGAAGTCACTCCAAGAAAACCCCACGTCTTGCCGCTCTGTTGAGGCTTTCGATAAGGAAATTCGTAATAAGACGAGGACTTCGATAATGGAAGATCGATTTCTCAAACTTCCTCTTTAACCTCACAAAGTGCGAATTCTTGTAGCTAAATCTCTCCACATTATTCAAGAAGAATTACTCTTGAAATCAGTTACCGCTGGACACCCAGTACGTGAGACACATCTTGAACATTGAATGAGAACTTCATATGGAAGCTATGTTACTTAAAGTGGAATACGTCTGTTTATGCTCTGCAGTGCGGTACGGCAACGTTAAGTCAATTGCATTTGTTAACGAAAAGAAATGTTCGACATCGGTGTGGGTGCAGCACATTGATACATCCCTTAACTGCACGGCAGAGTAAATATTTTATTAGAAAAAATTAACAAGTAGGAACTCCGTCCATTATAAGAAATACGTGTACAAATATAAGAGTTGCTACGAGGAGTGGCAATGACACTGCTTCTATCGTCGAAATTACTTAACAGGCCTTAATTAACATTAAAACTCGTAATGTAATTCATGTGAAGGTACAACTCGTAAGAAAAATATAATATAAATAAAAGTAGTATTCAGTCTTTAAAATCGAATTTAATTATCCTCTTCATATTGAATTACGTGGCTGATAAGTATAAAAGTTATTAATTACATATGGATACAGAATTCAATTCCGATGGGAATAACCTAGAATCCGGAAACTCGACAGTTATGACGTGGTGACTTCGATGAGGAAGGTGCAGGCGGCGATGGTTAGGTAGGAGCACGGATACACCTCCGGCACGGTGCACCTGAGCTACCTCCGAACTATAGCTGAACGGTCTGTCCCCTGATCTAGTTAGCCACCCCTATCCACAGCTGCTCTCGCTACCCCGAAAGCCGCCTGCCCTCTCAAAAGGGTCAGTACGGACTGGAGTTATGCTGCGCCGCTAAAAAAGCGCAAAATTTATCGCGACTAAATCTCCCTTAAATTCATGGCCGAAAGTTCGTAAACTTAACCTCACCTCGCATAGGCAGCCTTGGCGGTAGAGCAGCCTGAAGCCTTTCTTCTGGCGGACAGTGAGGTCGGTCCAGGGCGTGATGTAGTTGCATAGGTTTATGGAAGCCTGACCAGCCACCACTTTGCCGGTGATCAGGTATGTCTCTTCAGGCCTCAGGTCCACCCCGCACATTGACGACGTCCCCGCAGTCACGAGACGCCCCGACTTGAGAAGGACGCTCGCCTTCTCGCTCATCTAAGGAAAACACATTGGTCTGAATCAAGCTTTTGGCTCATGCATTTAACATTTAAGTAAAGGAGCGCATCGTTCCCTCTGAGCCGACGGGGATGCAAGTGCGCAAACCATGGTGTCTTCTGGCTTGGGCAAACCGGGAAGGGGGGGGGCAGCGATTTTTCGAAAAGGGTCCATAACAAACACTAAGTTTATAAACTCCCAAAAGTAACGAAAAATTGTATTCATCTTTACTAAAGCAAATAAAAGTGCGCGAGAGGCTGACTCGTGTCCGGGAGAGCGACAGGCACTGCGAGGCTGCAGCCTGGAGGGAATACTGAAGGTGTCTCCTTGTTTTGATGTTACATAATCAACTGTACATGCTAAGGAGCTGGCTTCTCTACTTATCACTCGCAGTTGATCTCAGACATGCGGTTTATATACCTCTCTTCCTCCAACTGAAGCAATTACCAAGGACAGCCCGAGTGAACCGTGTGAGCTGGAAGTGTCGGAACAATTTTCGGACATTTCTTACCGTTGCAGTCCGTATACTGACGCAGCAGTGTGCCCCTAAGTGAACAGCAGAAAGTCTAGGTCGATTAGTTCTAACTGCCTCTCCATCTCCTCATTGGAGGACAGGAGCAGTAAATTTGATGTTCACGGATGGAGATTATTTAATCTAATAGACACATTCGAGTGGTTTTCTTACTTTACTTGGTGACGGAAGCAGAGCCAGCTGTGGAAACCATAAAGGAGATGATGGAAAATGTCAAATATGTGCCAGTTTTAATATTGATTGCGGTTAGCGATGCTGTGGTACAAGATAATACAGGGTGATTCTACATTATTGTCGGGGTTTCAGTGGACTATAAACGAAAACCACGATAATAATTTAGAATCATCCTGTATATCTTGCGTCAAGTGGAAGAGGCCATTCAGATCAGTATTCCTTGAACACAAGGTCTGCCATGCTGTATTCCCTTACAGTCTGGGTCACCGGTCCTGTGTTCGAGGTATATTTAATATGGACGATGTTTCGGGAATTGGGTCTAGATCCCTCGTCGTATTGTTGGTTGTCAATACACTACCATATATATATATATATATTTACATTTTCGATGGCATAGCTAGAAATCAAACCCAGAACCCCTTGCGTACTACATTTTATCCTAACCTCCAGAAAACCGAGGTATCGCAAAGGATATCATGGCTCTATCCCGTCTGCTGGCACTAATATCGAAAGCAAAAGAACAAGCAACAGAATCAGTCGATATTATAACCAATTACGTGGCGACGGGATTAATATCAATTCCGGAAACTGTGTGTACACTACAGACTTCAGAAAATGGACGTGTCTAACAAAGATACGTTGTAGAAAGATCACACACATCGTAGCTTAAAATACGTTATATTTACAGGACAAAATACTTCTCATTGCACGAACCAGTGGTGAGCTACTGTGAACTTAGTAATGAACCTCGGGAATCCATAAAAAGCGAAGAATTTCTTGACTGGCAGAGCGAATTATCTCTAAAGATGGGCTGTCTTTTATGAAGTTATTCCAATAATTAATTAATTAATATGTTCGTGACAGGACAGAATATTAGGCCTACTAAACCAAGACAGAGGAAAGAACTCTAGTGAGATGTGTAAGTAACCCATTCTTTCAGTGATAAGAAAAATACGAGAAAATAAAAATGTATAAGAGAGACCTAATAGAGAATTTTAACGTCACCAGTTGGCTCACCTGCCTCATTTGCAAGAATAATACGAATGCTATTTGGTGGAATCTGGTGCCAAATGAAACTGAGAAGTTATGGATGCTGTACAAAATGTCGTTAATGTACGGGCATATAAAAATTATGGACAAAAAACGCAGTAAGAACAGTTTATTCATTGCAGACCAACTGAAGTACGTAGAATGGGGAGGCGAAACCACGGCGATCAGACTATATGCATAACGCGATGGAAGGGCAGAAACTTGAGGAAAGCAAGCTATAAAGCATTAAGGAGTAAAAGAGTGGGTAACCCGTGAAGTGTAGAGACAATAAGAACAAGGGACTTAATATCTGTTTACGTGTCAGGCATGCAAGGAATCTGCGGTGCACTGAGCTGCAATGAGACTGTTATCCTTTGTGTTCTCTGTAGTCTCTTTCACAACGTGTCAGTAAATCCGACTATAAAGTGTCAAATAATTGGATGATAATGAATTGCTAAGGATGCGGAAGGATGCCGATATGGCCTAATGTAATATATCTTTCCGGTGTTTACTGGGAGGGGCTGAGTACAAACATGATAAACTTTAGTCGGTATGCCCTGTGACCTGGCCGAGATTGGAGTGTCTCAGAACACAAGTCAGAAGATTGATTCAACATGTTGGGTAAAGTTTTCCTATTTCTGCTGCAGTGCGACATGTATACTCAACTGTCCCCCCAGATATCATGCAGCGTGGCGCTTGTGTCGTTCCCATCTCGCTAGTTCGCGCTCTGTTGCCGAGTGTAGAAAATTACGTAGAAAAATAAATAGGAATCTGGAGTGGCCTCTGTTGGCGTAAGACAGATATATCAAATATCAGAAAAATCGTCCAACAGCACTCGAGTTGAAACATGCGGATGCACAGACAGAGACAAATAGGGGAACAAACGGAAACATTTGATTATCCCTGTATGTATTCTTTGCGGGACGTGCAAAAGAGAAAGAACGCCTGTTGTGCGAGGAACCAAGAATACGCGTGAAATTAGCAGTAGCGCCTAAGAAATGGACTCAGATAATCAAACGAAGAAGAAAATTACATCATCAGCTTTGTAATTTCTATTCGTAATCTATGTAATATTGTTACTCAAAACTGAGTAGAGATGAGCTATATATATATATATATATCATGTAGCACGTATAATTCAAGAATTAATTCTTCGTACAGAATTTTACTTCAAGACAATAGACCACTGGGCGTAGAAAAGACAAAAATATTAAAATAGGGTGTGAAGGTTATGCGGGATGAAACTGGCTCACAATATGGACGAATGGTCAGTTCTTGTGGAACGTATACTTCTAGTTCCGTATAAGCAAATAAGAAACTCTCATTTAAACATTCATCCTGAGCCATGCAAAGACTGATGGTCGGTCGGTCGGTCGGTCGCAGTCAGTACAAGATGAACATTACGAAACTTGCCGTTATTCCCTACAACTCCTACATCAGTCTGTTAGTCTACTATCTGGCTGTTCAAGTACGTCTACTTGTATATTTGTTCACGACTTTAACTTATTCTGGTTAAGTGAGAAATGTGCTTTGCTCACTAAACATTGTATTAACTTAAACTCACCTTAAACTCTCTCTTAATTTTCACCTTGTAGACACGGGACATTAGGTCTCGTACAAGCACCTTCTTCACCCTGGCCACAATAACTGCAACAAGATAATATACATCATCGTACTTTACGCCAAAGTTCTCTTATACTTCATATTGTAACGCCCACTACATATCGGCTATTGTTAGTATAATTCCTTAGCACAGGCTTAATGCTACTAAGAGGTCATACGTGGGCCTGCCGCACATTCTTCGGCCGGTCTAGCGGGAAGGACACACGCTATTCGCGCAATATCTCACTGCGTGCATTCGGACTCGTTGCGAGTCTTTAGCCTACACATACTACAATTTCCTTCCTGTATCGCCCCCAATGAATCACTTTATCAGCTACCACTAAGCGAGCTTATGTTACATGCCTATTCGTTATAACTTTGGAGTCTCCTTTAATGTATTAAATATTCATTTAGTCGCGTTACATCTTGTGTCGAAATGCCACACGACAATTACGAGCTAAAAGTGTTGAATACAGATGTGAGCTGTAAGGAAAATATTCCATTAGACTCGCATTTCAAGATGTTACGGTTCAAAGGAAATAAGAAAGAAATAAAAAGGAACAGTTAACAATCTACATACATATATTGATACACAAGAACCATTACTGGACTATAAAGAAGCGAATCAAAACGTCGAGTCCTCATTGTAGAGTGGATGGATTAAAATCTCTTAGGCGCCTTCCAAAAGAGACCGGAGTTTTAAGTTTCAGGCCTCATGTTTCAAGTTTCCGAAAGGCAAGCTGAACTTAGCACATGGATGCGAAGCTCTCGCAAACGCGCAAGGAATGCGTGCATACAGCACGGACGGAATTCCAAGTGAGTAGCTGGTTTGCAACAGCTTACTACGACACTTCCTACAGGCCTATCAATAAGATCCAGTTTAATATTATTATCTTACCAAAATGAAGGTCTCATAATGATCTGTTCCTTTCAGGTTAGCGGACCAAGGTTTTGTAGCTTAAGCATTTCTCATCTTCCCCCTCAGCTGTCCTCCCAGCCCATCTGCTCCTTCATGACGTATTCGTCTCCACGAAATCAATCGAGAAATATTAATTATAACATTTTCCAACGTGTAATTTTCTACAGTCCTTAATTAAATTACCTCTCCCGAGCCCAAATGTCTTCCACTTCTATGTGAACATGGCAATGACAGGTATTCCAAAAAAGCACAGCCATGAGATGGACTTGATGCGCCTTGGTTCTCCCCTCTCAGTCAGCTCTTGACAAACCTCACTGTATATTACGGTAAAACATACGTTCATCGGTATCAGAATTTGCAGCTGATTCTATAATTCTTGATTTTAATAAAATTTAGATTTTATATTATGCGGTTGGATGAAGTGTACATAAAATACGATGTAACTATATTTTCGTTCACATTCATGTCAAATTGTATAACAAGTTTTAATGGAGAAGTATATTCAGCTGTGAAAATTACTGAATATACAGTACAGTTATACAATACACGCCAAAATAAAGGGTACACTGCTTACGTAACACGCCTGTTGATGTCAGTTTGTACTGAATGGCGCGTCCGAGTGATCAGTACTGCTGTTTCATACTGGGGATGTCCTGGGTTCATAGTTTCGACCCGGAGACCTCAACCCACCGAAGCATTTAATAGTTTCCTAATTCTCTCTAGGCAAATGTTCGCATACTTTAATTAAGGCTATGACCGCTTCCTTTCACACCCCTTCCTATTCATGGTTCACTCAGCATATTTCTGCTTAACGTCACGCAGTCTGAATTATGAACAGCGTCGCTAAATAGTTAATATGTAAATCGATAAATAAGGCCGAAGTTATTCCAGACGTGTCGCATGCACATGGGGTTTTATAACTTGGTTTTTCAGCGTATATGGAATACATAATATTATAAAGACGGAATGAATTGGATTTTCTCCAAAAGAATTTACTGCACACAACAAAATTCAATTCCGATTAGGGGAAATCGGGAAAAAAAAAAGAATAGCCTGTGGATACGAAGTTCAAAATGTCACGATGGAATTAGCCTCCTTCAGCATATGCGCAGGCAACTCAATGTACACGACTGTGCGTTTGGCTGCCTAAAATCATAGGCGGCCAGATGAGAACTGCATAGTTGAAAACAGAACAGTAATTTGATAGGAGTGGGAAGTAATGTAGGAACCACTAGAGAACGTCAAGCTCGTTTTGCAGGCTCCATCTACTTGTTTCGTAATATCAAGCCGTTTATATTAAGAAATTTGCAGCCACCAGCGGCCTACCAAACGACAAATGCTCGCTCCGGCCACCGGCTACACTTACGTACTGAAGCTTTCAGTGGTTTCTAGCGCCCTCAAAGCCAAAATTTGGAACTAACTACACAGTAGTACACGCTGCAAGTTTAACATTGCTAATACCAAAGCCACCACCACTGAGCAAAAACCTGAGCCGGTTCCATCCATCTTCCATCCTCTAAATTAATTTCCTTAACATACGTGATGTTGTCTTTTGAGTTCCCTCTTGGTATTCCACAGTATTCCCAAGATATTACCACACTGCAACCCCTCTGTTTTCCTTCACTGTCTGTCCTATCCGAGCTACGTTTCCACCCCATCGTATTTTGTTGCATTTAGTATATAGCAGTTCTCAGCTGCCCAGATGAACAATAAGAAGCAGTTCGTGCTTGTGTAAGTTGCTCATTTCTTTTTTTATTGCTAGTGGGGTGGGACTAACTCCCTTGTACTGCGGCCACTTCTGGCCTATTGTACCAGCCCCAGATGATAGGTGAGGGTAATTGTGGAGCAATTGGTGGAATGAAGATTGGCAGGGGAAACCGAAGTACTCGGAGAAAACCTGCCCCAGCGCCACTTTGTCCACCACAAATCACACTTGACCAGACCCGGGATCGAAACCGGGCCGCCGCGGTGGGAGCCAACGACTAACTGCATGAGCTATGGCGCGATCCCAGTTGCTCAGTTAATTCCTCCTCCTTGTATGTAGATACTGCCCGGAGAACTTCACACCGACTTCTGAGGCAGTGCCACGGTATTTAAACAGCCTCTCCTTAAGCTCCGTTTTCGTAACATATCTAATTTTCGAAAGACAAAGCTTCATATACGTGATGTTCGGAAATGTTACGTATCCTAGATCCCTCTGTGATTTTACAGCAACGTACGCTTTAAAAGTAAAGGTCATTATACCAAATATGTACAGCAACAAATTACGTCATGACATCAGAATACTCTTGTGTGTTTCACCTATCTCCCGCACGTATCTTCCTGTTGGCGGCGTCAGAGGTAGTTCTAAATCCTGTGAGTGAGATGAAGCACATGTCATGTTACTGAATAAAATCTCCATTCATAATTAACTTACATGGGTAATAAGTTTAAATTATTCCGTCTCCAAAGAGGAAAACACGAAAATGTCGACGATGGGTATTTCAGCGAATCGAGTGTTTGTAAAAAGCAACAGTAAGAATTTATGTATAAAAATAAAAGAAAATCCAACTTAAAGAAAAAACTTATGCACTCCTTCATTTCCCTATCCTAGCTACATGACCAACCCCTTATGATATTCATTTGGCTTCTGTAATACTAGATAAAGCGTGAATTAAAAAGTTTCCGTTATATAATTCTACTACTGCTCCTTTGCATCGTTTAAGGTCAGTACTTTTGTTTGGTACTTAGCTTTCAACTGGGCCTGCTTGAAATTTGTATCCTTGCTCCAGAACATTAGCATTAATTCGTCAACAACCCTGTGAACAAAGGGCGCAACGGGAAGACAGGAACAGAAAAGCAAACAAACTCTAGGGAACTTGCAAATCACAAAATACGAAGAAAATGGAAATTTTGCAGTGTGCTGGAGACGTAGGAATAGTGTTCGACCTGACTTTTAACCCCTACTTCACGTCTAATCGATTTATCTCTATAAACGTTATGTGACTATTTTACGTTGCAGTTTTAGACCTATCCGGAATCAAAATATTACTTTATTCTTGGCTTGCTTGAAGATTTTGGCAGCCTACGGGAAAGACTACGATCATGATGAATAATTTGAATGTTGCACCTTTCAGATGCATGTGCCGGTGTGCTGATAGCTCCAAGCGAGTAGTCAAGGAGACTTGACAATTACAAACACGTGTAGCAGAGTTCAGACTTTTAAAATTTGTCGGTGACAACTGAACGCGTTTAGATTTAATCGACTCGTTTGACAACAGTAAGCAATGAAGGAGCCAGCTCGGTGGTCAGTTGCGAACTGTAAGTGGGAGGAAATACGAGTATTTAGCTTCACTGCACTGCACCGTTCTTCTTACCACTCTCCGTTTCCCAGCAGATAAACGCAGCCTGTACTACCCCTGCCGTACTTCCAGCGCATGCGCAACCTAGTTGACACGAGTAATAAATCGCACTGTACGTATACTTATCTCCTATAAATCGATAGTGAAAATTTTATGATTTAAACCCACTTTCTGTTCGCTCTTGCATCCTACGAGCTTACAAGAGAAATTTAGATGATAACGGCACGTCAGCTGCAACCAATTCAAGTCAGCTTCCTCAACTGTATTTAAATGTTTTTTCTTGAGACATATGTGATGTATCTTTGTTGAATGTATGTCCGCTTTTGTAAACACTACCACCGGGCATAAGCCCAATTGCAGTAAATAATAAATATATAAAATGTAGACATTACAGAACCGGCCCAGAGATGTCGACAGATGACAATTAGTGCAGCTAGAATGTTTAAATATTCTTTTCTTTCTTATAGACAAAAATAATGTTTTTATAATGGTTGATGGACTCAAATGTTTTAAGGCTTAAGCTAGATTGAAACACATTAGCATGGCTTCCTCAAGTCAGGACACACTAAATCCTTACGTAACGCCTGTACAATGTTCTTATATGTTCCTGTCTATATAGCGTAATGCTGCATGGATTCAGGTAACATTCTCCGTGCTGATACTTAAGACCACGATTGCTCTCTTATTGTTCAGCGCTGCTGATGTTGTCGCCATCTTAAATGTTTACAGTTCCATTACTAGAGATGGAGACATTTGTCTTCAAAATAATTTATTCTGTTTAGTGATACTGTCTCTCATTGAGTTTCGTTTACCTGTGACACTAATTGGGCTAATTAAGATGTGTTTAAATGAAACCTACAGTAACGTTTAGTTAAAAGTTTGTGATATGTTTCTTGTTCAAAATGATCTGAAAGATGTTTCTTTAGCGCCATTATTTAGCAACTTCTCTTCACATTACGTCATGAGAAAGATCTGAGAAAGCTGGGAGACTGAAATTGAATGACACAAATCAAAATTTGGCCTGAGATGATAAAATTAACTTTAAATGATGAAAATATCAATGTCGTATTGTAAAACGCTTTAGCAAGCAAACAAGCCTTGAAGCTACAGAAACACAACTGAACTACATAAGAACTGTCTTTTGGTTTCAATAGCTCTTCCAGCCCATTCAGGGCCCTAGACTCTTTATTCAGTTCCGTAATCATTTCTCAGAGACGGAAGGACTACTTGGACGAGTGATCAGCCTGTCGCAAGGACTGTACCTAAACACAGGAAAACACAAACACACAAAAAACGCATACACACCAAACAGCAATGCCTTAAGTGGGATTCGAACCCACGAACCCAGCGTCCGTGTAAGCGAAGTCAGTTCATGTCTCAGACAGAGCGGCTACTGTGACCGGCGATACGAAGTGTCGGTAAACAAATTCCAGCAACACAAGCGCACCCGACAATAAGACATCCATTACCTGATATCGGACCAGTAAACATGCCTTCGCAACAATTGAGGAAGCGGTGTTTGCTATGGATCAGCCTCGAGGCTATATAACGGGGATCTCACGCGGCTAGAAGGGGCACTGCGTCGACTTCTGGAAATGACAGTCGAAGGTGACTGAGTAGAAATGGCAAGAAAGGATTAGACTGTTCCAAGAAGACTACAAGTGTGATTTGAAGTGACAGCGACTGTTATAAATCCGTTGCCTAGATACGACTAATGAAGGCTGAGAACCCTAGTGCGTGTGGAACAGTGAACTGGAAAAGTGTGTAGAATAGCGATGGCGTTCTATTACCTGCGGTCCCGAAATGTGTGAATCTACGAGGGTCGTACTGAAAGTAATGAGAAACAATTTTTTGTAAAGTAACATGCTTTATTATTGACAAACCAAATACACCACCTCAATCTACAGACCTTTCTTTATATTTCCACATAATCGCCACTACTTTGTACACATTTCTCTCAGTGTTCTGGGAGTTTGAAAATTCCCCTTCTGTAAAATTCCGTTCCAGCCATCCGAAGACACTGACGCACTGCTTTCTGAATTGCCTCCCTTGTCTCAAAACGTTGCCCACGCAGCTGATCCATCGCAAATCCGAAAAGATGGTAGTCGGAAGGTGCCAGATCAGGGCTATAGGAGGGGTGTGGAAGAACTTCCCACCCCGTCTTTGTAATTGCTCCCAATGTGGCCTTTGTGGTCACACGCCTGTCATCTTGAATTATCTCGTCCACTCTTTCCTTGTTGCGTTCAGTTGAGGCTGTTCGAGACGACCGCTCTGAGTCTCATCTTCGATGCTGGTGTTCCCATCTTTAAAATGTTTCACCCATCTTCGAACACTGCTCGCACCCATGCACACACTTCCATAAGCACGCTGAATTCAGAAAGCAGTGCGTCAGTGTCTTCGCATGGCTGGAACGGAATTTTACAGAAGGGGACTTTTTAAACTCCCAGAACGCTGGGAGAAATGTGTACAAAGAAGTGGCGATTATGTGGAAAAATAAAGAAAGGTCTGTAGATCGAGGTGGTGGATTGGTTTGTCAATAATAAAGCATGTTACTTCACAAAAAATTGTTGCTCATGACTTTCAGTACGACCTACGTATAAAGTACAATAAATCCAATCATCCAAATCATAACCCCGTCTTATAAGTTCTTATACACGTGATAATATATGTATATAGACTAAAGCAGTCCACGTTCAGGAAAAAAGAGTAACGTAACTGTGTTGTAAGGTAAAGCTATCCCTGTAACAGGCCGTGGAAGTCCATACGGTTGTGAGAGGTCGAGGCTCCCACATTTTCTAGACAATCGGCTCATAGATGGCGGTGAGGCTGTCAGCCTTACGTGCCGGCCGCCCTTTACCCCCAGGAATATTCCTGGTTCTCATATCTGTTAGAAGCTGAGTTGACCCCAGAGCCATAGTGCGGCTGGAAGGATTAGGTAAATTAAAAAAAAAAACCTCATCTGGATTCGATCCCGCGACCTTCCGGCTTGTAGCATAGTGCTTCAACCAACTACGCTACTGTGTGCCCCCCCAAATGTGTTGTGGCTGTAGTAAAAGAACACACCAAATTAGTTCTCTCTCTCTGATCAGTTCTCAAATAAAACTAGACAAGTAGAAGATAAAATAAATACAGTTAAACGTAGCCATTAACCTGATTCTGTTTAACATTATCAAACTGAAAGCTCTAGGTCTCGGTGAGGTGAAGGGACGAAGCTGTAGGTTTGTTCCACTTTCCAGTAAGAAGTGAGCGGCCAAGATCAGCTGTTTCAGTTGAACGAGGGCCCAACAGAAGATCTAGACCTCAGTTCCTTAGTTCATTTGCCAGTGCTAATTCTCACACGGTTCCAGTTCCATAACTGAGAGCATCGCCGCTACGGAGTCAGTATTCTCGAAAGTAAATCGATTTAGGCCGTAAAAATAGAGATCCCTACATACACATCATAATTCAGCCTCCATAATAAAATACTATTGTGGAATACAGACCCGTTTCTAAGCAGTGACTCTGTAAACAGCGGCCGTTGCTAGGCAATGCCCGCAAAAAACCTGCACGCAACAACACAACAATGTTATGCAACTCGTTTCTAAGCAACAGAACGGTAAACACACCTCTGCAACAATAGTTAATAATGGAAATGGCGTTTTATATTCGGTCCGTGCGAAGTGATTATAAAGATGACAATGGGGGGCAATCCAGTAGAGTCGAAGTTTGGTAGTTCAGTTGAGCTCTACAAGGGAGGCTGAGAAGAGACGACGCCATATTTGAGTTAAGAGCTGACAAAGAGTTCTGCGCGGGCGGCTGTGACAAGAGGACCCGAGTGCGTGAAGCTGAAGAATTTCCACTGTTAGAAATCGTTGCCAGGGAACGCCTGGTTAAGGCACAGCATGCTCCGAAAAGGTTCAATGAATGTATTAGGGGTGGGCTTTCTTGGCCCTTGCACCGCAACCACAGTGATTTATTGTGCTGTCCTTTTTGATTATCCCCTCAGCAATCCTGAGCTTCGAATGAAGCGCAGGATTTTGTTCGTGGGGACATCGAAATAGTCACTTTATTATTTTTTTACTGCTAGTGGGGTGGGACTAAGTCCCTTGTACTGCGGCCACTTCTGGCCTATTGTACCAGCCCCAGATGATAGGTGAGGGTGATTGTGGAGCAATGTGTGGAATGAAGATTGGCAGGCGAAACCGAAGTACTCGGGGAAAACCTGCCCCAGCGCCACTTAGTCCACCATAAATCCCACTTGACCAGACAGCGGGTTCGAACCCGGGCCGCCGCGGTGGAAGCCAGCGACTAACCGCTTCAGCTATGGCGCGGCCCAAATAGTCACTTGGTTCCATAAAATACTGACCCAAGTGACGCGATCTTAAATAAGCTAAGGCCTCACATTCACACAGGATACGTATGTATGGCGGTTTCGAAAAAGGCTTAGTGGGTGCTGTGGTGATTTGTGAAGTGTGGAGATATGCGATGGCTCTGTAATTACTTGTAGTTCCAAGTGGTATGTATAGACGCCCTCATAGCCCCTACATGCACAGCAGCAACCTCACTTTATATAGTGAAGCCTGTATATAAATTGAAGAAAGCAGTCTTCTGGGATTTGGCACCGTGTATATGTGGTGCTTTTACCGGTTCTCACGGTCTCTTCGCTTGCGGATTTCTTATATTTTTCTTCTACCCTGAAGATGGAGGCGATACGTTCCTCCGAAACGTCGGTTAACACCACATATACACGGTGCCAAATCCCAGAAGACTGCTTTCTTCATAGTCACCGCCGTGAAAATCTCAAATCTTACATGTATATAAATTGTTTACATTGGTTAAAATAAGTTTATTTCTAATACAACGATGCTACGTCAGCTGTATGAGGAGGAGAACATAAAGGGAAAATAAAGCTGTTCATCTCAGAATGGATGTATGGCTACAGTTTCAGTCAAATTCACAAGCATGGGACAGATGTAATTATGTTAGCAACTAATGTTGAAAGTGTTCTTACCGAAGTCAGCCCTGCATGCATGTGTCTGAGGGTGCGACATCATACAGGAGCACGCAGATGCCATGTTAACGCTTACTGCCACCAGAAGAATCACACACAAGGACACGTGTGCCAGAAGTCGTTTTGCCATTTTATCTATAAAAATAACCAGACAGACATGCTACTGTTAAAATTTTAAATATGAACTTCATTACTGAGTACACACAACGAGAACATTTAATTTTCCTTAGAAGTAATTAATTGCTGGCAAACATTTCACTTCGGGACTGGCGCGACAACAGAAGCCAGGCAAGCGGCCTCCTACGGCGGCATCATATTATGAGTAGCACAGTTAGAGCCCTCTCTTTCTTTGGCTATTTGTTAAACCAACATTAATTTCTGCTTCTCTTATATTCATGTCACGGCCATTAATTGCCAGTCTTCTGAACATATTATGCAACAATGCAAATAAAACTACCTTAAGAATTGTAACAATAGTGACGGCTTCCTTCACAGTGTCTGGGAAATTTCATGCCATCAATTGTTGCGAAAATCTGAGAAAACTGATCTGCTTTTAATTGATGGGATAGGAGAACTTCTTGTCACACTGGGTGACAATTGAATTTGCGCGAGGTCTAACTCGCTAACAAAAGTAAACATATTGGTTTAGCGACAATTCTTTGTCAGAATCGAGGGAGGTGCACGTTCGGATATCGGCCGCGTTGCCTNGTTCTTGTCACACTGGGTGTCTACTGAATTTGCGCGAGCTCTAACTCTAACAAAAGTAAACATATTGGTTTAGCGACAATTCTTCGTCAGAATCGAGGGAGGTGCACGTTCGGATATCGGCCGCGTTGCCTCTTATCTTAGCGTATGGTTTCTTGGTTTCTTTAGCCTCTTCAAGCGAACGTTGCTATTGTATCTTGAAATAAATAACTAATTTCTTCCTCACAATTCTTATGTACTGATCACTCATCAGTTACCCATCTCACATGACATTTTATATCAACTTACGTTGGAATATCATTTTTAAACTTGAGACTCAATCCCTCATCCTTGTCGCTAATAGTTTACTTTTGTATTAACTCTGTGGGTTCAGTTCGTCCTGAATGGCACAGGAATGCGGACAATGTCTCCAGTTTCTTAATATCTTACTATAATAGGACTTAAAATAGCGTTATGTGAATTAAATGGCTCAGTCTTGTAATGATATTGTGATATGACGGCCGAAAGCCGGAACACTGTCATGAATAGATAGTACAATTGCTAGGCAACACACCAGTAAATACGTTTCCGCGGTAACAAATACTGACGCAACTATAGAGAACGATGTGTTTTCTATACCGTCCGTGCAAGCCGGAGGCAGCGGTAAGCAGTCTTGAGTTGCACTGTTGCAGTCATTACATGGCAACGACTTGTGACGACATAAGAAACAATATACGTGCTGTATTTGTAGTGATCTGTAGAGTGTAGATCAGACTCTTATAGTTATTTGTAGATACGACTTACAAACGTTCAGTAAATCCGATCATCAGTCCAAGCTCCGTGTCTCGCCAGTAACACGTGACAATATTATGTCCTGGTATTCATTTCTCCTGTCAATTAGCCTCAGAAAGTTTCAGGACATGTGTCATATTTCGAATCTAATGGCCCTAAGAATCCTTTACAGAAGCGGTTTCCATTACACAGTTCTTCTATGGTTCCTACATTTGTCCGAAAGGCATAACAGGCGACAACTGACAACACAGTCTTGGAAGCCACTTGGACTTCCACCGCAGCGTGCGTATCGTTGTTCAGGAAGGACAAGCTTCCAGCCTCACACTGCCCTCCGTCAGCGGCGACAATGACAGACCATCCGCCACACCGGGCCAGGCGACGGTTTTGTTCCATCCTTGTACAATAGTTTCAAACATTCTGGAAGTCAGCATGCGGAATTATCTGTAACGCAATTTTGGAAACCCCCTGGACCTACGCCTGTCACTGAGATGGTCCAGAGTAGGTAGGCCCCTGCATTTGTCCGATATTATCGTCGTTCAGAGATGTTGCAAGCCATCCACCCCTCATCCTTTGCCTATGACTTATGACCAATTCAGAACGGCGGCGCCACTCATACACCTTTCGAAGGATCCAAAATGGGTCATTTGCTGATTTCCCCACTCGTTGACATAAATCGGTGTTAATTCACTGTTCAAAGTAGCTCATACACAGATTTCCGTTCGCTTCGGTTAAATTGCCGCTGGGCCTCGCCAGCACAGCCATTCTTGGTTCCGCGACCCGCTGAACTCACGACCATATTTTTCCTTCTCACGGCTCTGGGAGTAGTGAGGCCGACCTATAACGATGTCGAAACCCATTGGATAAACAAACAAGAACTTCTAGGAAGAACTAATCGCCTATTTTCTTTTGATACGCCATGGACAGCACAGAACACGACGCCGTGTTTACAGAGTCGTTGCCTAGCAACAACAGGGGGATGCACAGACCCACAAATTCTCCTTTGATACATGAACTTCATGAACTTCCTGTATAGTCGTTGTCATGGTAACGTTCTTACAGAGCCGTTGCCTAGCAAAACACACAAAGACTGATGGGAGGCATTTATAAAGTACACCGTTAAGATTGTCTCAGCGTCATGATACACATACCTAGTTTCGTAAAGATTGGTTCAGGCATTCAGCAATTAATAGGGAGGAAACACAGACACACAGGAAGGAGAGCGCATAAGCCTAACTTAAGAAAGTAGGCTGATAATCAGCTTCAGGCAATGCACACCTAAGATATACCATATCGTGTCTCAGTCGAGAAGTCGAAAAAAAATGTAACTTCAGAGTAACTTGATATTGTTCCCTGGCACGCAATTACGGCAGGAGCAGTTTTCATGACGTGATCAGCAATGTGTACTTGTCCCACTTCTTCGATTATAAATTCTTTCACGCGGTTATATTTTATCTACCATTGCATAATATGAAAAGAAAAGGTTACATTTCCATCAATATATGGTTCATGTCCTGCACATGTTCGGCCATATTTCTGAACGTATATACCGTGAATACTTGAAGGTAAGCAATACTACTACTTGAAGACAATATGAACGACGCTTGTCCAACTCAAAATGTTATATCCCCTTGTACTGGGAATTGGAAACTAGGTACAAAGTACCATTTTCTTATCAAATTCTTTGCCTTCTCCTCCTCCTGTTTCTATCCATTCTTCTTTGTACCCTTCCTTCCCACCACCTTCCTCTCTCTTCATCATCTTTTGTTTTACCGTCTTCTTCCTCTGCCGTCTTCATATCCTCTCCACTTTCTTTCTTATTTTCAGTTTTCTTCTTCCTCTTTTTCAGTTTCTGTTCCTCAGTCTTCTTTCTCCTTTTCCTTCTCAACCTTCGTCGGATTATCCATTATTTCCTCCTCCTTTACTTCTCAATCTCCTATTTGCTTTACTTCTCCCGCCCTCCTTTTCATCTTCTTTCCTTTCTCTTCTCCGTCTTGTAACTATGGTGGCACCATGATAGAGAATAATTGCTACCTTATAAAAGGTTACTACCTCTGTCCAGTGTGGCTGATAAATAATAATAATAATACATAATATTGTTAGTGTGACGGACCAGGATGAACCAAATCAAACTGTTACCTATTTAAAGGCATTCGTCGAAAGCTCTGAGGGATATCACTAATGCTCCTCAGAATATTCGGTGCCCTGGCCGAGATTCAAACTGGGGATTTCCCAAATACAAGCCAGAAGCACTACCGCTCGAGCCAACTTGCTCAGCGTCGCTTCATAATATTACTAAAATGTCTGCCGGTTACTCGGCTTCGTAATTGGGTAATGTGTTTATTAAACAGACAGTAATATATCTGTATCTGGAATATATGAATTTCATATCCGGTACGTGCGTAAAAATTCCCCTCCCCCCTTCAAATAAAGAGAAATCACAATAAACTGGATTACACCAACCGACCTTTCTTTCAGAAGAACAGTCTTCACCACAGTCAAAATCTCTGTGACCAGTATGACACACTGCCAGTTACGGATAGGTTTTGTTACAAAGAGGGATAATTTTCTGTAAGGTTACAGGTTTCACTCCGTCCTCTGAGTTCGTGTTTTATAAATTCGGTTGAGAGTTTGAAGCCCGCTGTCCCGGTGACGACATGGTTTGCATGTGACACATTAATCATCTCAGAAATTCTCTTTCCTGGCGCCAAAAATATGCAATTTAAAAAGCAGTTCATGGACACAGAGATGATATAAACGGGAGGAACTCAATGAAGATAATCAGTAACCAGTACAGACTCGGTAAACAGACCGCGCGCCGATCTCGCCTATGCGAGAGCCATAGGCCCTAGCGCACGACTTCAATATCTGTAGCACAGAGCTCAGGAACTGAAAATATTGACAATTAATTTTATATAGTACGTTGAAATGTATTCTTATTCATTGTACTTTACTGGAATTATCCTGCGTGATGTTCGATATTTAAAATGTAATAAGCTTAATGTAATAGTATTTATAAGCTTATTGCAGATTTGGAAGCATTTACAAAAAAATTTGGTTCTTTTTAAACAACGAAATCAACTTTTTTTGGAATGGTCAACTTTATCTCCGTTGTTACCATTAAAATAAGTGGGATGACGCATAGCTGCTCCCACTACGTCCAAGTATCGAATTCCCAGCAATTGTTTTCATTACCTGTATGCCGTTCACACAGCGCAGACTTCCTTGCTTCTCGTAATATTGATAGTTGGGCCGTTTCTAAGCAACGGCTAGGTAAACAATGCCTAAAAAGTCGGAATAACAATGAACAAGCGGATTCCATTGCTAGGCAACGGCTCAAAAAACAAGTTCCTGCGAAGACAGATTCTTGGTAAACAGTCCGTTGCTAGGTTACGCAACAATTCTGCCAACAGAAGAAGCGTTTTCAATGTGGTCCGTGCCATGACAAATGATAGGCAACATAACAGGTGTTTTCTATGCGTGGTCCGTGCCGAAGGTTTACAAGGGCAACAAAGGGCGTTTGCGAGTATTCGCTGCTGACGAACCGTGAGTCAAGGACACGAAGCCGCCATGGAAAAGAGCAGTTGAGAGTACAGGGACGATAATGGATCATGTCCTTAATGAATTGTGAAGATTAGTTGAGTACAGATTAGGACAGAGTA